TATGAAATCTAAAGATCAGTTCTGAGTATTGGTGTTGCCATAACACAACGGTGTTATGGAAGTACTAATTTCAATTAACATTGTGTTGTGCTTTTTGATTGAGTGTTATGACCTTATGTTCTCATGAGAACATTGTGCTATTGAAAGTAAGGTGACATAATTTGCTGCAGTAATTATGGTAAGCCTTCCTGTAGGGTAAGGATGTCTTCTCACGAAAATTGTACACTGACAGATCAACTTCAAAAGTAGTACTTAAGTTTTTTGTGTATTTCTTATTTTGTTTTTATTTAAGGAATGCTAGACAATAGTTCCTTTATTTTGATGAACAAAATGTGCCACTGTGTTTCAGAAAGGGGAGCAATTTGAACATGTCAGAAAAGAGATTGTCATTTCCCTTCAGTCAGTGTAATTGTTTTTGTCTCTAGAAAGTAATTTTTGAAACCTGAACTGAAACCATGCGTTATGAAAGCTGTGAGGTAGTAAAACTTAAGAGCAAGGCTCTCAAATTTGCACTCTTGGTGGGGTTTTAAACAGTGCTAGTTCAATTATATAAATTGTCCATTTTATTTTTCTTTATCTAATCGTGGCAAGATTTGAAATTTATCCATTTATAACTCGCATTCAAGATGTTAATCTGCATACAGTCCAGCTGCTGTCTTTTAAACCTATTGTAGTAGTTTCCACAGCGTTCTGAGTTCATCACAAGTTGGTAATTGCAAATTGGGAGGGTATTAAAAGAAAATTGGATATTTTGCAAAAAAAAATATTTGAGCTTGTTAGGGTGTGAACAAAGAAAAGCAAAATCAAGGATAGTTTTAAAAATGCAGTGATTTATTGTTCTGTAGTTTCCTGGATTGTCATACAAGGTTAATTGTTTTACCGTTACCGAATAAGTGAAGAAAGTTTTGCACTCTAGGTGTCTGATTAGGAAGACACTTGAATGACTTCCAGCAAGCAGTAGTCTGGATACCCAGGATTCTCGCTTTGGGGGCAGGACAGTAGTGAGCTCCAGGTCTCAAGGGCCAAAGGGGGAGGCATGGGATTTTCTCCAGCTGTCTTTAACAGTTGAGGAATATTAACAGTATATAGACAGTGTTGCCTAATTCCAGCGCAAGCAATCTGCAGTGCCTATACACTAAAGAGATGGGGCCCCATTTTTACCCCGAGATGATTTTGTGGCATAAGAATGAACCGGTTTCTGTCATCCAGCTGCCTCTGAAGCCCAGTTTTGTTTTTTGTTGAAACGTGCAAAGTGTTACCTGAGAAGCAGGGTTATGCTAAGAATGCTTTTGTTGGCCTTCTATTACCTCAGGCTAAGCAGACAACACTTAGGGGATGTGAGATAAATGTCAGATGAAGATTGTTTTCTTTAAATGAGGATAATTTTTTATATCGGCAGGTATTATATTCCTATCTGCTGTTAAATTGCCAGTTTTGGAGTTTGCCGCGTGAATCACTGAGAGAATGAGAACCAGCAGCTACGCTCTGTGCATCTCTAGGAATGCCACAGGCTTCTCCATGCCTTACAGGAGTGTACGTTTTAAATACAGGAGAGGAGAATCATTCCTTTCTTGCATGTGGTCCACAAGTAGCAAGATCCATGTTTCAGTTGAAGAACATAAGAAAAGCTGTGAACAAGAAGAGGCTGATGTGCCCTTCTAGCTTGTTTGGTTACTAGAAGAAGGCATCTCATCTAGCCAATTCTAGAAGGAAGCTTCTATTGGAAATCCAGACACCCGCAGTGCTCTGCATAAACAAAATGCCTTCTGTATTCAATTTTAAGCGCACTGCCCTTCTTTGGTTTGTTTCCATGTGGAATCCGGAGGAATCCAATGGGTTGAATTTGTCAGTGCCTTTTTTGAATTTATGCATACTCTCTGAGAATAACGTCAACTATCAACTCTGAAGTTGTCTTTCAGAGAAGCGGAGTGGTCCTAAGACACCCACCGTGCTTGAAGAGGGTTTTCCTTTCATAATTTTAGCTCTTTTTCAGACATTTTGGGTTGAAAGTGCTAAAAAAAGTAAAGTGAAGGCATCAAAGCAGACAGTTATCTCTGTGAGTTTACTCCTTACAAGAGTGTTTAACATGATAAATACAACCATGCATTTCCCCTGCATATTTCAGTCAGTATGTTTTTTGTTTCTTTTTTGTCTTAAAAAGAGCATAGTACTGAAATTAGCATTCTTAGATTTATGCCTGTACTTGAATTAGGTCCCCTCTTGAACTACTGTGTTCAGCACTTAAAAGATTTTATTTATCTTGTTATTGTAGGATGATTTCAGCTTCCTTTAAGCCCACGAATGAACCTGGTTGCTTTTCTTTAAACTGTTTCCATGGCAGCAACATCTTTTTTATAATGTATTTTCAACTCTATACATAATATTCTAAATGGGGTCTTCCAACTATATTGTACAATTTAATGGTGTTTTTTGTCTTATGTGTTCTTTTTTTACTTCCCCACATTGTCTAGATGTAAATGTCAACAAATCATTTTTATGACTTCTTTGCACTCAGTGTTTCCCATGGTACATCTGTTTTTGTTACCTGAATATGATGCACTGTACTTCTGTATCTTAAATGTCTTTGTATTTGCCTATTTGTCTTTCTGAACAATACTCCACTGTGCCTTTATAGAAACAAATCCAGTAATACTTGACAAGCATATTAATGCTATTATAATATTATACACAGATGTTTGTGCTGGGTGTTTTTTACAGTATATGTGTATGTATGCTTTTTATTGTTCACTGCTTCTGGTTATTTTGCTTCCACTTTTAATCACATGAGTTGTCTGTGTGGTTTACACCTGTCAGAGCAAATCAAGATGGTTTGGGATTGGAAGTGGTTAGCCCTTGGGTTTAACCTGCATTTAGCAAGACAGGAATAATTTCTTTTATTTTTGTCAGACATTTTGTCTGGAAGTTAAATCCTGCAGATTCCTGCTGTATTCGCTCCAAAGTTATAAGGTACGACCACTTCACCATCCTATGCTCTAAGAATAGCTCCTCTCTGGATTGTACAGGGACAGTCTTTGCGAACAGGCATGGAAGACACTGGAGTGACCTCCTGAATACCTCCTTCCTCTGTCGTGTCATTTTTATACCAGCAAGAGATGCAGCTGTGTCCCCGCTGTGCGAGTTCAAAACTGCTCGCAGCTGGCCGAAGCAATGGGAAACGGATGGCTGTTTGGTTCTTTGTTTCCGTTTTCCTGCCACAAACATGTGAAAAAGAGCACAAAATTCAGTACCTTATGTTAAAAGTTAGCACTCTGTAGATTACCGCAACAACAGAGGATTGAAGCTTTTTAAATCTGAGGGATTCTTTTACCCTCTTTGTCTTTTCCCACAGTTATTCCCTAATGTCCAAGAAATTTTGATTTTTTTTTTTCTGGACCACCTCTGCTCAATTTTTGCCAAAGAAACAACAGCCATTAGAGTAGAAAGCACCATTGTACTCTCTTCAGTCCTGTTTATTTAAATTTAGACCCAGAGATCTTAGTAGAAACCTGTTCAACAAATTTGTTTTGTTAGCTTCCTCCAAGCATGCCTGGTTATTTTGTAATCCCGTTATCCTATGGATTGTTTTCTTTTTTGGAAAAATCAATCGGAAAATGTTTTTAAAAGCAGAACATAATTGCACAAAGAAAAGCAAGCCATTCGGCAAAAAGTAGCTAACCAGAAAGGAAAACCACAGTGGGGAAAAAAAACATATCTCTACACAGGCACATGCTGGTCTAACTCGGGCAACGTTGGAGGAAGAATATCATCACCCTAAACTGTCTCTTCTCATCTGTGTTGGCTGTACCCTGCAAGGACTTAACTGCTGCTGTGTAGCAGGGCGGCAGCTGCAGGGAGCAGATCACACAGACAAGTTCACTTCACGTCTCAGTGCAGTGCCTCACTTGCCTAAAGAGGTCACGTCATTTTTTCCCTTTTTTTTGAGAAAGCCAAGACTTGGCTTCACGATTTTTTTTTCTGCTGCTGTTTTTTTTTTTCTTTTCCCTTCTCAAGGCAAGCAGTACGGTGGGAAACTGACAGCCTGGACTGGAGCCTCAAGCTGACAAAGCAAACAGGCCCAAACCACCCCCAATCCCTGCCCGCCCCCTGCTTCCAAGACCCCCTCTCTTAACATGAGCGATTACGCCATTGGTTTTACAACAGGAGAGAGAGGACGGCGAGCACTCAGTGCGCTTCTGAGATGAATTGTCTGTGCCTGTGCTGTGTGCAGAATTTTGACTGATTGAATCTGATCACAAACCATTTTCTGACTTTCTGTAGCTGAGGTTTATGCCTTAAATATTAAATTCGAATTTAATATTTAATATTTAAATTTAGATTTAATATCAATTCAAAAACAAAATGTTTGCCGTCTTAACTTGGAGCTTTGATTGATGTTTACAGGTTTCATATGACAAGGAACATGGACATAGGTGGCTCTCTTAGTAAAATCAAAGTCTAAATGAGCCTATAGTCCAGAAACCTTTCTCTCTGTTTACTCGTAATGTTTTTAGGAATTATTGAGATTATAGCCATATGGGTAATTTAAGATGTTTAAAAATCACATAGATATTTGTATTTTGGTGAGAAAGAGAGAAGAATTGCTCTTTGTGTGTCCGTACAGGTGTTCATTTACATGTGTGTTTTAGTGCAGATTTGTGTTGGTACTTTTTGGTTATTTTATTAAATACAATTATTCACTAATGTGGATTACATAATATTTTATTTATAATTTTGCTCGCTAGTAGAATTCGGCTAACCAAAGGTACAGGGTGCAAATACCTACTGTATGTAACTGTCCTCTAAACCTTTGCAATAAAGGTTTTCCCCCTTTCTCGTGATTTATTTCCATTTCAGTGCAGTGAACCCTGATAGATTCTTGTGGAACAGTGGTGAGCAGCTCTCCTCCCGGAGGTGTGGGGCTAGAGCGCTGGTCTGTGGCTGCACCAGCAGCAGGACTCGCCACAGGGGCCACTGACGTTCTTCCCTCCCTCTACCAACAGAAGGAGCTCGTCGCTAACCCAGACTGCCCCCGCATGTGCGCCTACAAACTGGTGACCGTCAAGTTCAAGTGGTGGGGACTGCAGAACAAAATAGAGAACTTCATTCACAAAGTAAGGATGTTTTCCTTTTCTGTGGTTTTATCTTTCTCTTTTTTTGTTCTTGGGTTTCCTTCCCAGCTCACATCGCCCATTACACTGATTCCTGATCCAGTCAGGAGTCATTCAAGTTGTAAACCAGTGACCCCTTTTTTTTTGTTTTACAAAAAACCCTAACTGGGAAGTATAGAAGATGCAGGGGATGAATTCTTAACTGTAAAAGTGGAGCTTCACCATCAAATTAAATTGCAAGATAGGTTATACCTTGAAAATATTTAGCATAGGTTTTAATTTGATGTAGTTTTGTGTGGAGAATTAATGGGTTTCTTGAGTTATTAAAATAAAATTGTTTAGTGTTGACCCCTTCTAGAGTGGTGTTAGTGTATCACATAATGTAGTACTGTTAAGTGAAATTAAGTTTTGGCACAATAAAACGTAGCATCTGTGCTGAACCCTTAAGGCACGGGCCATGGACAAGAATAGTGCTCTTTAACCTAAAACAATCATTGCCTTCAATACAAGGAGGGCACAGTCAGTTCCACTGTACTGTTACAGAGTTTTCAAACTTTATTACAAAAAGCTCATACTTGGTTCACTGAGTAAGACACACTTGGACTGCACCAACTCAGACCACTATTTTTACCACTTCAAACATGCTATTTCAGTGTGCTTGTAGATTCACCTTTATATCTTGCAGCCTACAGCTTGCTGCTGTGCTGCCCATTACAGATGATCAAATCACAATTGCCTGCAACAGAAATCATGTTAAGGTATCCAATTTTGATATGCTTTAGACTTGTTGCATTTAACTGTTTTGCAGTTTTCAGTCATTCTTTTAAATGCCCTGTACAGCATTTAACAAATACTGAGTTAATTGTGCATGTACAGTATGTGTTATTGATTTCAATTTTTAATTGAACCATGATCTCATTGGTCTGTAAAACCAAATGCAAAAGGATTGCAGAAGTTCAGAGTGGAAAAAGTCCTCCTGGTCAGACAGGTATCGCACCCCTGCAATAAATATAAGGTGTACCTTAGAACTGCATCCTCCAGCATGTCAGATTATGACTTTCTAACCACGGGGCTCTTCCGCAAAATTACAGCAGCTCCCCGAGATTCACACCCACGTTGTTCTAAAGGTGATGCCTTCCTTTGATGTTCTAATCGAAGGTGCATCTTGTCCTTACAGCAAGAGAAGAGGATTTTCACTAACTTCCATCGTCAGCTCTTCTGCTGGATCGACCGATGGGTGGAGCTGACAATGGAGGATATCCGGAGGATGGAGGACGAGACACAGAAAGAGTTGGAGGAGGTATGAATGTGCATGTGCCTTTCCTTAGCTCTCTAAGTAGCGCTTACCAGACTAAGCAGAGTAGCGCTCTTGCCCTGGTGTCAGTTAGACAAGTTTTCCAAGCAAATCTCAGCCCCACTCAGTCTACACCATCTGTTTCTTGCTTTGTGTATAAACACACAAATTAGAAACGGCAGCAGTGTGTGCGTACTTTTTGTTTCTTTTGCATTGTGTTCATGCAAAAGGAGGATTTGGGGATTGTGTTCATGGTAAAAGAGGATTTCAGAATTTTGCAATAGTTTAGAAATTAGTATTAATATTTGTTTAACTGGCAGATGAATGTGCACAAAAACTCCATCTGAGCATATTCCTCTGTTCCCTTTTGTATTTGAGTTGCATATGCTCTGAAGATGTGTTTACATAAACCATTATGTCCAAGATTTCTTCTTTCCTGATTGGAGATTTCTTCTCAACCACTGAAACAGGCTTTAAACACACTCCTCAAGATTATTGCGCAAAGCCCAACATTTTGGTGCACATACATAATGATACTCCTCGAAATATTGTACATGCAGATGAGAGCAGGTTCCAGACACCCTCAAAAAGGCTCTTTAAATTTTCCACTGACCAGATTTTGTCATTAATCGTGGATCATGGATTAATCATGAGGTCATTTTGAAAACTCAATTTTACATTAGACCACTGACAAAAGTATATATAATTAGCAGTAAGCTAAAAAATCGACTATGATTTTCTTAGTTTCATATCCCTAGACTGAGGGCTTAACAGGTCTTCTATCAATCAAATATGTATATACATTTAACTGTATTTCCTTTTTTTCTTATCCCATGTTGATTTTTACACTTTGGCATCCTCTGGTGCTCAGAAGGTGTAGTTGTATAAATGGTATACAAATACACTTGTCTTTGCAAATCATGTCAGTCAATTAAACACCATCACTGCAACTGAGAGAGGAGGTATTGATGCACTGTTAGCAACAGAGTGGTATTAACAGTAAAGTAAGAGCTCACTTACCTGTTAAGAGAGGCATTTGTAGAAATCAAAACTGAGCAACAATCCTTGGAATTGCAAAACCAGCACAGAATATTACAACATGAATAAGAAACATATCTTGCACTGTTTATTTATGAGCAGTTCATCTAGACACTAATATTCCGAGTGGAAAACACAAATGAGGTTCAAACTCCACACATAAAAGAGCATTACACAAGGCAAAAAACAGCACATGATTCAAATCTGCTACACCCTTTTCCAACATCTTTTTTTATTTTTAATATGCCCATTATTTGACACACATTTCCTGTCACTAATCTTTTTAATTGATACTGAATCAATTACAACACCTTGAAGAGTAAGAAACTGTGTGCTTGTATTCGTTAGTCCATGATCATGTATTAAGATAATAATGCAAGCAAAAACAATAAGGATAAACAATAAACAATAAGTAAAGGGGAGCAATAGTCATCTTTGTTCCATGTTGTGTACATGCAGTGTCATGCTAAATTCAGACTCACATAATATAAACACCAGATGTACTGAATAATGTGCATTTATATAAAATCTTAATCAATATTTCACATTATATTCAGCAATAATGCACTAACATGCTATGAAATTCGTCATGAATGACTCTCATTCTTGTCGGTTCCCAAATAGTTCTCATTTTGTAGAGTACTATTAAGCTGGACAAAATGCATTTGTTCCCTTTTACCGGAAATTATATTTGAACGTCTTGCTTATGTCGCAGAGGTAAATGTGCCGCTCATCTGCTACGGATGTCACCACGCAATGGGGAAGGACATTTACAGAGATTATTTAGAGCTAAAGTAGAAAAAAACAGCAGGTTGTATTGGAAGCAAGTTTCACATTAGATGACATGATTCGAGAATTCCTTTCCAGTGCTTTATAATAGCATGGTTTTCAAACCACAGCCTATAGCTTTGCATAATGTCTACCGGTGAAGCAGAAAATATATATTTCTAAAAATAAGATAAAAATATGATCTGTTTGTTTTGACTGATAAAAATATGCAGCTCATAAAACCTGAAATGGCTGGGTAGAGTCTGAGGACAGCCCTAGCTGAACCTGTCATAGACAAAAATAATAGATGTAACTTTAAAGTTTTGGGAATCACAGTAACATGTGTTTCTCTTTTATTGTTTGGAAGCTTAGAACTTGTGGAACATAATACTTTTTTTACTATATAAACTCCCGGTTGCATTTCAGTTTTGGTCAAAGGGTGATAAACTTGTCTGTTTTAATAAGTTAGCTTTAGGTTGTTAGACATATGAAATTAGTTTTAATTCACAAGTTACCTGTGCCTTGCATCACTTTATTTCTTCATCCCAGGTAGAGAGTGCATATCAGAAGGACTACAAATGTGTCTGTTACCTCTGTCCAAAAGGGAGATGGATATTAAATCGAATGCAGTTACAGTAGACCTAATCTGTCATGTTTCTGCTGTTACCTTTTCAGTGGGAGGGTGTCAAATAGCAAATAGTGTGTGTTTTATAATATAGTTCACAAGGCTAATTACAGTTGTGCTATGTACGGTTAAGGGAAAATAACATTTTAAGAGAACACATTTTATGGCCCAAGTGGTTTATTCCAGTTTAATATGTGGAAAAATAAGCACTGGAAAGGGATACACCTGTTTATAAAGATGGCTTATGAGGACAGAAGGAAGCCCTGGTCAGACCACTACAGTTAACCGTTTTACTAGGAATATCAAAAATAGAGAGGAATGCTCGACAGAATTTCACACGGAATATCCAGGGATAAATTGTTTCTCTTTAGTTCAGTGATGTTTGTATCACTTGTGATTAGGATATTATTTTAATTCATTAATACAAGTCATTTCCCAGAGATGAAAAGCTGACCTTGTGTACGGAGTCATGTTTGCAATTGCAGGATTGCAGATCAAGATGAGGAAACTGTCCACATTTTCACTTTAGATTTAGATTACAATGGACGGTATGATTCAAATCTGAAATCCCACTATTGGCTGGGTTTTCTCACACCAGCCACTTGTTTTGGAGTGGGTGGGACCAGTTCCTTCCCCTTTGCGTGGTTCTGATGGTAATGTCTACTAACCCATGAACAAGCAGAGCTCGTCGAACGCCGCAGGACTCCCCGACAGTCCCACCAGGCCTCCTCATGCAATTGCTCGTGTGTCCCTTACTAACCCGCCCAAGTCCACGAAGGCCCTCGATTGCCTGTTGATCCTTTTATTTTACATCTAGATGCGTATGAGGGGTTCTGTGCGAGGCACGTCGGCAGCGGATTGATTAGCAGATCCCTCTGTAGGTTCAGAGGCAGGCTGTGTAAGTGAAGTGGGGAGGTGGCCGGGGCTCTGGTGATGGGCCATTTCATTCCCAAGAGTCCTGGTTTTGGGTTATCGGAGTGCCCGGCTGCTGCACTGCTTCCATGCCTCCGCCACTGGGGTCTGCGTGTTGGCTTAAACAAAGAACGATCAAGTCGTGCGCACGCCGCGCCGTCCATCGCCCCTTCCTTATGGGACCCATGGGTAGGAGCCGGCCAGTTGTGTCGCACATCTGTCCAGGGGAACGAGTAGTTTGACTAGCGGGAACTGTTGTCAGCTGTTTTTATTCTTCACTGTGGAATGTGATAATCGTGTAGAGAAAGTTGTGAAAAGTTGGGGGGTCTCTGATCTTGATGGTCTGGCTGACAGAAGACTGTTGCCTTTAGGTACTCCGGTGGCCAGAGAAGAAAACCAGAGTGCAGCTGTGAACTAAAAAACATAATCTATATCAATCAATAACAGATGTTTTCATTAAATGTTTTCAATACTAGGTATTTGGACACGTTTATGCAAAAATATTACCGATATTACCAGCAAATAATTCTGTTGGTGTTTAAAGGACTTGAAGTGTTCGCATAGAACTTTGGCCCTTCTATGTTATGACTCATTGAATTGCTCAAGAACCCTAATAATATGATTATATTCCTAATTTAAAACATGTTTGCAAAGAAAACATTTTTTAAGTATGGTAGCTCTGAGGACTTCTGCCAGAATGCCCCAGGGGTAACACCCCAGGCTTCAGAAACCAAGCACTGATCAGATTTGCAAGCCATGGGGAAAACAATTGCAAGAAATCATGGCCAGGAGATTGTGCAGTCTTCCCCAAGCATGTTGAGAAATCTGTTGAGTTCAGTAAAGGCACTTGGAGATACTTGTGACATGTTATCTCACAACCATTGAGGTTCATTTCCAGTTTACAGTTATTCTTACTGGCAAGCTCTTAAAAGGAGTTTTAAGAGAGACATAGCCCATTATTTTATTTTTATTACTGCCTTATAAAGTGAGGATATAATGTATGTAAGTACAAATGCCTGAAGCTGTTGCTGCTGATAAATATCAAAGAGGCTGGGTTTTGGAGGGCAGATGACAAACCTCATACCTTTAGATAAATAAAAAAAAACTGACATTTTGAATTATGTTCACCCCTTTAAAGGGAATTAATTCAAAATAAATTAATGAACTGTAATCAGTTGCAAAATTCCAAACTGTTGTTTCTGGATGATTCGTATTTTGAAGCCAAACATTGGAATTAAGTTACTTGTTGCCATCGCACAGTAGCAGGCGTTTCTGATTCTTGGTTGCTTTCAATCCTAGTCAAAACCATTGTCCCAAGAATCGAATGCTTACAAGCTTGAATAAGTCTAGCCTACTGCCTGCACAGCCCATGAAAGGTTGTGTTCAAATTTTTAAGATAACTTTTACATTACATTTTAACGTTCTTAAGGGTGATGCCTTTCATCCTTTCACCCATGAGTGATATTTTGTCAAGTATTTAATTTAGAAATACTCAAAATGTATAAATCATATTGTTCTAGAAGCTTCTGGCCTCCTGGAAATTAGGTCTTAATACAGCTTGTTGGATGAAATCCTCAAAAATGCTCAGTTTGTCTTCCACAATAACAATTTATAGTAGTAATATGCTTTTTGGTTTGTTATAGTGGCCGATAACATCCCCCAACCAGAAATATTAATTCCTTTTAATGAATAAATCACCTTTTAATTATTTGCCGCCCATAAGCTAGATTGTTCCCCACATCGTGTACAGTTCAGCTGGTTCTTTTAACCAGTGTCAAAAATTCAATTGATAGTGCATTTTAGGTAATCAGAGGTAGTTCAGACATGTATCATGTGTATAAATATTGTTTTATTGGCTTGCAGGCCCAACCGAACTTTAACCCCCCAGTGGAAACAATGGAAGCAGTGTGGCGGTGCGGCTGTTATACTCTTGAATTGTTCTCTTGACTCTCATTATGCTGATTTTTCACACTTGACACCGTCTCCACATGTGCTGCCAACCGCCGGCAGCTCTTCTCAGACAACCGTGCTGCAAAACGATTGAACTGTTTGCAATGAGTTTAATCTTGGGCTTTTTCTTCTTGCGCTAAAATGACTGCTGCTTGTTCGTATTGGATTCCAGCGAGTGTAGATTATCTCTTTTATGCTGTTGGGTGTTAAGTGCAGTGGATGAAGAAACACACCCGGACATCACTAATGTGCATTTACTGCATAAATACCGTTTTTTGACTCCAGTCCTTTCAGCTGGAGATCTTGTCCCAAAAGGAAAGCATGTTATTTAGTTCCACATTAGTCGATGGAGCATTTTAAAAACGGTACAATAAATATTAAGTATATGGTGAACATGAGATCATGGAAATATCAAGGCATTGTTTGTTCTGTGGTTTGACCTTCATTTGGAGAGGTCTTTTAGTGTTGGTGATGCAGAAGTGTTTTTTATTTTGACCACTGGCAGTTTCCATTATAGATTGCAGCTAGTGGTATACACTATATTGTAACCAGCCGTAACGGTGACCATGTAAACTATGTAACTTTCTACTATTGTAGCACAAAAGTGGCATTTTGCAAAAGTGAAAAAAATATATAAATATGCAGTATACTAATCTGTGCATAAGAAAAATAAGCCACTATGAATCACAGCAGTTGCAGTTTTGAAAGCTAAACTGGTTCATCTTGAGTCAGTCTGTGGCTGAGAGTCTTAAGTGGATTATTGCAGTTTGCCCTGGCAAGCTGAGACTGACATGAACCAACATTACCTTATTTTCTTCACAATGCTTCCTTTCATATAAGAGGGTGCAATCCAAATTAGATCCTGGACATCCTCTATCAGTTGGAAAGCTTACAGGAATTCCTTCAGGCTGGGTTTCTTCTTCTTGTTTATACTGAGGTGTTCTCACCCAAAACTGACATCAGTTGTGCTGAGCAGCACGTCATACATGTATGTCTCTGCGAGAGAAACAGACACATTTTGATCTTTTTCAACTCCCAGTAAGACATAGTCTCCATCTTCCACTCACCGGGGCTTTTTTTATTCTGCTCCTGAATACTGTATGCGTACTATTCTAAATAATGCTTTCTGTGTGAAAATATATCTAATAGCAATTATCCAAAGAGATTTTTTATGCTATTATTTCCCATCTCCTCTGCTAATAACAGTCATTAAAAAGGGCTATTTTGGGAACTTTTTTGTCAAATTTGCTTGTGAAATTGTGTCTTGTTGCTTCAGGCAATTTGCTATGCCATACAGTATATGACACATTTAATTCTGGCCTCCTGTTATTTTTGAGAGAAGGCATGGCATTAATGCATTAAGCAGCGGATGTCAAAAATAATGGGAGTGTAATCCCACTCACTTGTTTTTAGCTTATTTTTTAAGGATGCTTTCCTAAGAAGCCCAAGGGTAGCTTGTCCCTGTCCAGGGTGCCTAGGCTTGCATGTCACGCTTACAAGTGGGGGGTCTTCAAGACGCACGTAATGGGTGTCGCTCGGAAATTTTGAGGCTTCAAGCCATCTCGTCGCTGGCAGGAGCCTGGTATTGCTTGTGTTTAACAATAGGAAAAAAAAGCCCAAGATTGTACAAACGAGACTCATTAGCATACAAATGGAATTCTGCACTTGAAAAGAGCCTGCTATGTGAGAGAGAGTCCTGCCTGTACTGGAGCAAGCTGGGGGGGTTCTTTAACCATTTTTGAGAATATTACAGTGGAATACACTGGGCTGAACAGCTCTGGAGATGCTGGCGATTTGAGGTGATGTAATAAAAGTAGTGGTACATGCGTGTACTCAAGGGGATGTATTTGATACCCCCTGGTATAAGTTTTGTGACCATTCCTTCTTCATATTATCGTGGCTTTATAGAAACACCATGGTGGCAAACATTTCAGTTTTTAACACAGTGTGATAATAGGAGGAATAGAAGCCTAACATTTCTTAAATCCAATAATGACTCTTATTTATAAAATGTTTGTTTGTTAAATCCTTAATTTAGGACATACTTTCAGTTGTTTACAGTAAATCATTATTTTAATGGTGGTAACTAAATGGGGAAATAAAGTGATTTCTTAATTCTGCAAAGGAATTATTCTGAAGAGTTTCAACTGAGCAAGTTTAGTGCAGTTTTGGAACTGCAAATTACATTTAAAATTTACTTCAGTCTTCTCGCAAACATAGGATTATTTTTTATATATATTCACCTTAAGGTTAACAGCCTTTCAGTTCCTTTTGCTAGGTCTCACAAAATGAACATTTCAACTGAAAGACCTGTATTTAATTTTACAGCCCTCTCACTTATGACATATTGCAGCTATATCCCCTTATTGGCAAACCTTTTCACACGGCTAGGAGGTCTTTTACTTTGAGAGACATGCTTGGGATAAGATTTATCCGCGGAGAAGCAGTATAATCAGGTTGCTGGACTATGTGATTCCTTCTCATCCCAAATGTTAGTTTACAAATCAGGGAGTCGTAGTAAATTGGAACGTCGAATTGGTGTGCCATACATAAAAATGACATAAAAGGGGAATAAGTTGTCTGTTTTTGACATTTATTCTTGGATTTAGGTTTGATGGGGAAAGTTTCATTCGCTCTCAGTGACAGGCCGGCTCTTTTCTTGCAGGTGGAGAATGTTGTTGGAAATGCTCATGCTGCAACTTGAATTCATGACGATCTCACCCCACTTTTCTCTGCTCTTTTTTTTTTCTCTTCTTCCCCACAGCTTCGTAAACAAGGTCAAGTCCGGGGCACCAGTGCTGCGAACGACGAATGAGTCAATACAATACATCACCACCACCATCAAACAGCCACATCCAATTCCTAGCAGCATTTCCGTTTTCTCACCTGACCGGGGTTTCTTACAGCTGGTCGGCAGTACTGTACCTGACCTCTGCAAGACTGCAAAACAGCTACTGACAAAATGAAAATTAGACCTTTGCTGGGCGAAAAAGAAAGATTTGCATATTACAAAAAGAAGAAAAACGTATACCAGTACTCGGGGCTGCATTTTAAAAATGGCTACAAGAAAAAATAAGTCCCGGTTTACACGTTTGTAATTGTACACTATTTTCCAAACAAGGCACCGGTCTGATTTCATCTTTGGCAGGTTTTGGACCAATTTTCTTTTTCTGTCTGAGGTTTTATTTTGTGTTAAGTCTGCTGTATTGGCTGGTGTCAGTTTTTCCATAGTTTTTCTTTCCGTAAAGAAATATATATATATAATTCTTCCCTCTACATTCTCACCCCTATTCTGGCTGCCCAGGACCCCCTCTGAATCTGTTTTCTTTGAAATACTATATTTTGATTTTAGAACACTTTATTTTTAAAAAAAAAAAGGTTTCCCCTTTCTTCTGCTTGCTGCTTTTTGAGGCATTCCGCCTACCGGATGGACGCGAAGTGCATGCGTGCTGGAGATGGTAGATGATATGGCTGTCCTGTACCCCTTCAGATCTCTCCTCTTGCTCTGCAGCAGGACAGAGGCGAGGAGGCTGGGGCAGCGACCACTCTTCAGCAGTTCTGAGCGTGCGTGGCCATTGGGGGGGGGTCCTCTAACAGATCGCAGATGCCTCACGGGTCTCGCCTTTTAATTTCTCTAAAACGGGGGGGCGCCTGCGCTCCGATTTCCCCTTCTAAACAAAGCTGGAATTTATTGCAAGCCCTGACCTTCTCAAGCATGCTTCAAACCTGGTTTTCCATGAGGTCTCTCAAGGAGGCATAGCTAAATTAAATTTGAAAAAAAAATTGCATAAGAATTTGTTTCTGTTGGCAACTTCAGGCATTTTTTTTGCCCCCTCTGCGTTTAAAGTTCATTACAGTTACATTTTACATATTTATTAGGGCACAAATTCAGAGTTTCCACATTTTTTGATAAAGACCCCCTAGCTCTGCAAGGCGAAGGAGATATGCCTTCTGACAGCTGTAGCCTTGCAGTGCAGGCTGCTGCTTCCTGCAGGCTGTCTTCACGGTCTGAGCAGCATGTAAATTCCACATTGTCTTATCTGCCTCCTGCCTACCTGTTGCTTTTAAATGGGATGCTATGCAATTCATCTACAGCAGCACATCGATGTTCAACTATTATGAAGGAGTAAATCCTATCTTAACCCAATCCCTTTTTTACTTGTATAACAGGAGGGCAGGGTCTGTATACTGTTACCTCACTATCAGAACAGAGCTTCTGTCAGTTTATTAAGGCACACTAATAAAGAAAGCTATATGTTCTACAGCAATCAAGACCAGTGTGTCTGAAATCTTTTTCACTTTTGCCCTTCATTAGGTTTCACAGACTTTTAGCTGTTCTTTACCTAAATGGTCACCTTTCAGTCAAGTGGATTGACAGCCATACTGCTTCGTCTGCTTGCCTGTTTTTGTGTTCTATATTTTAAAGGAATTAAGTTTGACAGTGAAATGGTCAGGAGCTATTGATTACAAAAGTCATTCTTATTGTCTGCTGGTTCTGGTAAAGAACTGGCATTCAGCCTAAGATTACCATGTTTTACATAATGTTTCTCTGGATTATCAAACACACAAAGCTGGCTAGTCGAGTAATAAAGGGATTTATACAAGAATGTCTGTGTGTATATTCCAGCATTTTAGATTAAGTGCCGTTTCCTCAGTTAACTTTTTGTTAGTGATGTGGTAGTGCTTTGGAGAGATCATGATGAGTTAAAACCGAAAATGTTTGGAGTTTTATACTAAATTATTGTGACATTTTCTCAGTAAACAGCTGAGTTACTAAGGGGCAAAACAAGCCTACCAAAAAAAAATCAGTACCCAGAATTTAACATTTTCAGTTTTTTCTGAATCTTGGACCATCTCTTTCATATTAAATCATCTCGGTTTTGTGCATAGAAATGTTCAAAAACATGCTGCCTTTCTGTTGTGTGGCTGCTCCGATACATTTTCAATCACTCATCCATGTATCTCCGTATCTGGGTATTTGGTGGAGCTATCAACAGTGAGAGGACAGTGTCACCATTTTTAAAACTATATAGAGAAATCTTGTAGATTTGAGGGACTTCGGTCTGATCCACGTCAGAACCTTGTATGATGGCATTAGTCCCAAGAAGAATATATTTGCATTTATTGTGCTCACTGACAAAGTGGAGTTTACTTTCTGTACAGCAGCATTATTATTGAAAGGTTGGGGGGGGGCAGGAGGGGTGTAAGAATGAAAAATGTACAGTATAATCATGATTAAACAAACTTTACTTGCAAAATTGACTACTGTTAATTTTTCTGAAAGATGGATACTTTTAAATGTCTCTTATTTTCTGATCATCTGTTAAAAATTCAGGGGAAATTGTAGTGAATGTAAAAGGTTATACTTTTTTGTTCTTTTGGCAGCTTATGAGCTGCAAAAGATCTAGACAATGGAACTAAGCTGAATATCTAATAAATTTCAACACAAAGTATGCATGGTCCTTGACTCTGCTTGAATATGTTCTATGTTCTTTAACTCAGACTGCCCTCATACAGTCAATGGACTGTAAACTGCAAGCAATTGTGTGTATTTGCCCCCCTTTTTCCTTTTAACTAAATTGTTTCCAAGCTTCACACAATTATATATGGGTCACCTTGAGACTGTGCATGACTAGCAGTGCCATTTCCAAATGTGAAAAAATTTCACAGAGGATTTCCAAGTCTGTGAACAGCAGTAGCTTGCTTCATCACCAGCAGATTGAGCCAGTCGTCACAAACACACCCTAACTGGTTTAATGTGAGCCCTCACAGGTAAATGGACTCCCCCTTTGGCAGGTAACACATGGCTTTCTCATGGTGCAAAAGTCCAACTTCCATCCCTGCCTAGAGCAACACCCAAGCACTCAGTATTATTGAAAATTGGTGGAACTAGTCACGTGGAGGTCATCCTGTGCTGTTTTACCACCATCATCTTTGGCTGAAGGCAATACCGCTAGAAAAATGGAGATGGGTTTGAGCTGCAAAGATTTCAGACCCTTGTGGAAATCAACACACGGTAGCCACTTGCTGAAGCCTATCTGGTGGGGGTTCCTAGTAATTTTATCAGCATTTTCTTTAAAAAAAGGGATTTCTAGAGAAGTCAGCACTTAAACAATATCAGCAATTACAATAAATAAATCTAAGAGCGAGTGAATTTAGTATTGGAATCAAGGCTCAGTTTTACAGAAAGAGTTGTGGGTATGTGTAAAGGACCTTGTGATTGAAGCCACTGTTCTTTTATCTTTTTTTTTTTTTTTTTTTTTTTTAAGATTAAGGAATCAAGTCACTGTTGGCACCCACAAAAAACACGACTGGCAAAATATCCTCGTCTTGTTTGTAACCCTTATAGCTATTATTTTCACTGTTGTCAAGGATTTGCAATTTATTTTATGTGGTCCAATGAAAATAGTATTTTCCTCAAAACAGGAAAATAATCCTCAACTAGTAGTTTGAACTTGTTGCACCCTTGGTCTGTAAAAAACCCAAACAAGCACCATCTTGCTTCAAGCATTGGAACGATGAAAAAATTGAAATGAGAAAACGTTTCATTGTTTTACCCTCATCAAGCATTTGCAAACGTGGACACTTTTTGGTGGTTAATGTACAAGAAATCCAGCCAAAAGAAGGGAAGTGATCGTCTGAAGCGCTGGTTTTGTTTAAAACATGAGCTAACGCGCTCTTGGAAGGCTGTGCGTCGCGTGAGAAAGCCGAGAAGGGGAGGCAGTGTGTGAGCGGCGTTCCGAAGTGTTGCAAGCCAGCTTGCAACGTGATGCCCTGCAGGCAAGACTTTCTGTTTAGAAACTGCATTAATAAACAGCCCGAGCTTCTCTCTCCTGGTTCCGCTCGGCCCTCTCCGCCTTGGCGAGCTGCGAGGGCCAGATGTGCCAGTGGCCACAATAAGCTCCCCGTGTCAGAACACATTACAGATCAGTGGTAGGAGGTGCTGGGAGGGGAGTTGTTAGGGGTTCAGGAAAGTTCCGATCTTGAATCTCCGGCAGGCTACTTCTCATCTGCGAGACGGCAAAGTAAACGCAGGGCAGGATCATGAGGAACTGATTTACGTTTTGCTCAACACGGCTGCTGCTTTATGGCCGCAGCATTAAGTGGTACCTTTCAAAAGTTCTCTCCCCCTACCCATAGCCACGCTCTCATGGATTGTAAATAATGTCTACAGTGTTTTTCAGATGACTTTTGTGAAGCCATTCCAATGATGAGACTGAGCCCTCGTGTCTGAAGGTGGTTAAATGTCAGAATGTCTGAATTGACACATTGGGGGACCCCCCCCCCCTTTGGGCTCTCCACCTCCAGCCCCCTGGGTCCAGCTGCAGCAGCTCCCATGGCACAAAGCTTGGGCTGTGTCAGCAGCAGCTCTCCGTGTCCCCATCACCCCCCACTGGTCTAGTGGATCCTAACAGACAAATTGTTTTACATAAACAATACCAGGACAGGAGATTTTCCAGTGACTCCACGACTGTCGACTCCGCAGCTAAAGTCCGCACAGCCAGACCAAGAAACTTCTGTCAGTGCAAGATGCCTGGATTTAGAGTCATCAGTCTGGCAAGTTATAAGTTAACAGGGAACATCTCTCATTAGAATAATAGACAAATGGGAAGAGACAGCTGCCTAAAACAGAGTCTGGATACTTGTAAAGAGGTTAGAACTGCATTCAGAGGATTAGAAAGTACGTAAAATTCCACTGCGCTCTGTGAATCAGGGAGACAGATCCTGCTATTCTTTTATTTCATTAAAGGGAAGTATAGAAGAAAAGAGATCATCCCAAGCTGCTACTGGTGAAAAGCTGTTTCATCTAGGGCAAGCCTTTTTTCAGGATATTTCAATCTATATTAGCCACCACCAAACAAGATTACTTAGAATACACAGACGAGCCAGCAATAGAATATTCAGAAGTTCAGATATACAGCCTAAAGTAATTGAACCTCTAGTGCGAGTTGGCTGAAGTGTTCAAAACTGCCGAGGGGGACTGTCAGCACAACCTTGTTTCACATCAAGAAGAGAGCTAAGATGTAGAGCACCAATATTCACTCCTGGTTGCTATGTCTTCTGGGCTTCATTCCTCCTGGGACTCTTAATGACTTGACTTGAATCAAATGTTCACTTAATTGGTCTTAATTACTGCCGTCTCCAGGTGTTTAATCACTGAGGATAAGAAGTTACCTATAAACCTCGTAGACTGCAGCCCTACAGGACTGGGAGCGACTATCACTGATGTAGGTTCTTTTCAGTAATCCATATCCTAATGTGTTCATAAAAATTAATTTAGAACAGGGCTACTTAGCTTGTGGCCTTGCCAGACTGCTCCATTCTGGAAATTTGCAACAAGCTTCCTAATTGCAACATTGATCTTGCTGATGATCAGCTAAATAATTAAGGAGCTGGCTGCAGCAAATTTTTATTGAAAGGAAGACAAGTTTCATAGACATAATTTAGAATAAAATAATATGGTCAGGCTCATGAGGTTCTTTAGTCTAGAAACTATTTGCAGATTGCAATAGAAGTAGCACTGGAAGTATATAAAGATTACATTTGAAGTCAAAAGAATAAAAGTACCTTTTAAAATGGGGAGTCCAGCCGAGAACCCAAGCATTAAAAGATGCCCTTTGTTGTTTTCTAGGAAAACAGTGCTGTGGGTAATAAGGCCCTTAGTTCAAGTCTCGAGTTCACTTCATTGAGGCCTACAGAAGATTTTAGATAATGCACATAAGTATATTTTTGTTAAAATAATGTATAATTGATATAATGTGATATTTATTTATATTTTTATAGAATTCTTACGTAGGTAGTGAAAAGGCAGATCTCGTTGAACAAATATCAATAAATTACAGGAGAATATATTAAATGCAATGTTTAAGTTTCAAAAGTCCCACATAAATGTTTAAAGTCCACAAAAGCTGTAGGAATCAAAAGTTGTATATCCATGTGGTTTCAAAGCTGGTTATTCTCCAGGAAAAAGAATAAATGGAGACCTTTCAGGCCTACAGCAGCTCTCCCCAGTGGATATCGGTGATCTTGACTCTGTCATTGGTTAAATGTTCAGCTCATGCAAAATGCAGGATGGACTGTAAACACTTCAGTAAACTGACAGCAAATGTAGAAAGAGACACTTTTCAGTTCCAGTTCTGGAATGAAAGGTACAAAGTTGCAAAATATTGTAAAGTACCAAGTAATTGGGTGTAATTAATGTAAAACATTTCCTGAAAACAATTTACAATACCAGACACTGCTCCCACTTCAGTCAGGAATCACGACTATATGCAAGCAGATCGCGGGGCACGAGCTTTAAAGACATTTACTACACTTCACTTAACATATAGACACACGTCCAAAGACCACACGTCTTTGAGTGTAGACACTCTACAGATCAAAGTTATCCCCTTCATCCCCTCAGAAACAGAAACATCATCCCTACCTTGGACTTTTGCACGTTTTAATGTGTTACAATATGGAATCATAATGTATTTAATGGGTTTTTTTTGCCATCAACCAACACAAAACACCATAACGTCAAAGTGAAAACAAAATTCTACAAATCCTCCTAAATTATAAATATTATTATATTCCATTATAATTGAGTTGTGAAACCTTGCTAGCCACTGTAGATTTTCCATAAACTCTTTTCAGGACAGGGACATACTTTCTGTGATCTGTTGAATATAAGCTGTAATATATATTTTAAATGTTTCCTTACCTATGTATTTTTCACCTTGATTTAAATTCCCCACATGTTCCTGTATTTCCTCACCTTTTTCTAGCTTTCTCAACTCAAATGCCTATATCCCTTCCATTGATTGCTTATTCAAGATCAATTACATATATTATATTTATACAGAAAGGCATTAAAACAACACAAATGAGTTCTGGAACCAATTGCATTTGTTACATTTTTAATGCCTCTCAGTAAATAATTGATAAACCTTCGACCTCCAGATCAAACTGTTGTGTGCTGGGGTATATCAGTTATTCCATCATGAAGTGTGACAGACATCTAATTTTCTGTACCACTTATCCAGAACAGGCCAGTAAACAATGAGGGCATTGGGATGGCTCACTCTGGGTCTACCCACCAATCGGAATTCCGTTGCTAAGCCGAGTCTGGCACCCTGGGATGTTCCCAGAGTTCAGCTGTGGTGGAGTGTTACACCCATCCCTAGTCAAACATACTGAACACCTTCCCTTGGAGAGTGAGGTACAGTTAGGTGGAGACTTCAATAGTAGATGCCCAAACAAGGTAACGAAATCAGGTAAAAGTAGGGTAGGGTCGACCATACCTCAGACATGAGAGACATAAGAGGGAGACCCCACCTACAGTACCTACATATCTGAATCACCTATTCAGTGTGCACAGGTATTTCTGAGCACAGGAGAGACCAGACGTCAAAGGGCTGTGTTCTTTTATATATTTGATAAAAAGAAGAGCAACCAGAATAATCACGAGCCTACAA